CTGTTTTCCCCACATAGCCTATTGTCTTGCCATGCTACACCATCAAATTACTAAAATTAAGTTTGACCCAGATGCATGATTTTTCATTAATTTTCTTTAAATTCTACTTTATTAGATTTGTATAGTCATTCTATCCAGTTGAATTATTTTCATATTTAGATTCTGTCTTCCAATATGTTACCTAATTTTGAAAAGTTAATAAGCATATCATGTTGAGTCAAAGAACATGAGTTCAAATGACATCTCTAACACTTGCAACCAAGTGTTATACTCCAGAAAGTCATCTAAATTCCTTAGTTTCAGTTTCATCTCAAGGTTGAGAATAGTGGATTACATGAATTCTGAGGTCATTTTTAATTGACAAATGACCTTATTATTCTAAGATCCAACTACATCATTGTCCAATTAATTGATAAATTTAACCAGCACTAGGATTAGGACAGATTGCATTTCCCTGGAGACTTCCCTCCAACTAGAACTGGACTATTTTGGGAGGTAGTAGCATTCTAGTCACTAAAGATAATCAAGTCATGGTAGGATAGCCATGCTGGAAGGTTATAGAGACATATTTCATTCAGGTGCAGGGGAATCACATGGTCTTGGAGGTCTCTCCTAACTGTCACTTTGTAATATTACCTACTCTTATTGACAATTTGGTGAAATAGTTATGAATTCACCTGCAATAATATTTTATAGCCATCATTTTTCATCTTTCCACAAACATTGTATACAATATTTTCAAATGCTTTGCTGAAATCTTTATAAAATTCATCTTCACCTTTTCATTGATCTACCATTCTAATAATCTTTTCTCTCCACTTTAGAAAAAGGAAATGAGGTTAGTTTTTAATTGTTTTTTTTTTCTTCATGAAGTCATGGTAACTTGTGTCATCACTTCTTTTTGTAGATGCTTTCTGACTGTTTCTTCATAACATTTCAGAATTTGCCATGAATCTGTCAGACTCACTGGTCTATAATTTGCAGATTCATCACTGTTCTTTATTTTTTGAAACTTGGAAAAAAATGTATTATTCAGTGGTCCTGTGGCACTGCTCCCACTTTGCACACACTCCCAAAAATAAATAGCATTGCCTCAGCAAGCACACCTGCCAAGTCTTTCAGTACCTTCAGAAACCAGCTGATTTTGGTGACTTCACTCATTGAGGGCAACTAAGCAATTTTAATATCTATCTATGTATCTATCTATCTACCTATCCATTCATTCATTTTTTTTAAATTTTGCCTCCTTCTTCATCCTTCTTCCTCTGCCCTTCTGTCCTTTCTGATCCAAAGATAGTTCTCCTTATTAGTGAAGATAAAATCAAAATAACCTCTGAATTATTCTGTCCTGTCTCTCCTTTTTGCTATTTATGCTTTTGTTTTGTTTTGTTTTGTTTTTTGGTTAGGCAATGGGGTTAAGTGACTTGCCCACAGTCACACAGCTTGTGAATGTTATGTGTCTGAAGGCTGGATTTGAACTCAGGTCCTCCTGACTTCAGGGCCGGTGCTCTATCCACTGCACCACCTAGCTGCCCCTTTTTTGCTACTTATGTTCACATCCACCCTTAGTAGCCCCATAATGATATTCTTTCTTTTCCAAGATAACATAAAAATTCTTGATTTTAAATGTGCATGCCCTATTGACCAAGTATGGTCAAATCTTAATTCATATGTTTGCATTTTTCATTGTATTTTCATTTTATTCAGATCATTTGATTTTAAGCAAGTCACATATCCATGCTAAGCCTCAAGTTTTTCATCTGTAAAATGAACATAATAATACTTCCCTTGCCTACTTCCTAGGAGCTACTGTGAATATTTAACATAATAATGGATTTAGCAAGTCATACTTGAAAGACCCCTTCTATTGGAGCTAGAAGATTTAGCAATTTTTGCAATAATACTTAAGATAAACATTTTTCCATATTGATATTTTTGAAATTGAGTAAATAGTAAAATCTTACATGGGCCTATTTATATATTTAGTCTATCAGTTTTTCCTTAGATTATTTAAAATCTCCAAAGATTGTCTAAATTTCTAAAAACTGTGTAAAATCTCTAAAGATTATCTAAAGACAGTTGTAATAAAATATTTCATTCTTCAGGTTAATTCTTAAAAGACATATTTTAAATATTATTGTCCCAGCTCTTTCCAGGTATTGAAAGGAGCAACTCTCCTATTTCCTTGCTTTGTTAAAGAAGGGAAATTTTTCCATTCTCACAAACATTGAAACCTGTGGACTTTGACCTCTGACCTCTATGTAAAAATGACATTGTTATACATATTATCTAATATACTGCATGCTGAAAATGAAACATAGAAGTGAGATTTAATTATATGCCCAATGTTAACAAATTTCAATATTTAATTCTGAACTACCTTAGGTGGAGATAAATACTTGACTTATTACTCTAAGTAATAATGAAGTAATATAAAATCAAACAAAATACCAGCTTTTTCTCTTCCTTCCTTTCAGGAAGTTTCGTATATTGAAGTGGGAGGCTATAATATTAGTTCTTACTGGAATACTAGAAAAGATTTGTTAGCATGGTCATTTGGAAAAGTAAATGATCTTTTTAAATGAAGTGAAATAATGCCTTATTTCTCTCTCAACTGCAATAACAAAAACCTTGTTTTCACACAATTGTCATGGTAGAGCTTCCATTAAACTGCACAAAAAGAGGACAACAGCATTTTGTGAAACTTGTTGAAAAAGTAGTCCTTTTGTCTTTTTAAGGAATTCCTTCACTGAAGATATGCATATGTATATTCTGTCTGTTGTTAACTTTGTAATATATGGATGGTGTAATGTAGGTTTTTTTAGAAACTATATTTTATCATCTATCCTGAATATTTAATTTTAGACTCAAAATGTGTAGGAATTTCTTACATTATTTCAAACAAAAAAAAAGAATAATACTTTAGAAATATGCATGAATGTAGAATTATATTTGGAAATAGTTTTCAACAAGACTAGCTGATATGATCTGATTTTATTTCATATATTTGATTTGTAAAATGTTACCTTAATATCTAATATGTGCATGTATGTTTATATATGTATATATATACGAATGTATATGTGTGTTGTATATATATTTGTGTGTATATTTGTTGTGTATTTCTAAGTGTGTATATTTGGTACTGCTTGACTTTTACATTTTAATATCAATATCCCCACTCTCCCCCCCCAAAAAAAAATGCTATATCCTTAAATGATGATTAGAGGACATTAGTATGTCTCCTTTGATGACAGAAGTGAAAAGTCCATTATCCCAAAAGATAAAGTGTGAATTACATAATGTTGGTAAACAGCAGGTAGATATTCTGGCAATAACATTCCTATCATTTTTTCATGAACCATAAGAGAGGATGCATGGGCAAAGTTAGGCCATGTTGATATTCAGGGAGTGAAGTGAGTCACCAAACACCTGCCATGTTCATTCCAGCTATCTTCTTGGCAAATTATGTTTGTCATGAGCAAAGGGAAAATATATGATCTTCATTTACTTTAGGATGCCCCCAAAAATTGATAGGTCCTGATAAACTAATCCATATTTTTATTTAAAGTTTATAATGATTACAGCAATTAAGAGGTGAGGTAATTGTGTCTTGGAGGTAATAGCTATTACCCAATAAAAATGGGGAAATAAAAGCAAGTGTTGTGTCATCATGGTATAAAGGCCTTCCTGTCTTCCTGAAGGCTATGCCAGTGGAATTTAAGCCTTGCTTGGTGTTATTAAACTGTGAAGTCTTTAAATACGGGCATAAGGTTAGTTTATTTATTTTTTGTCATGTACACTGATCAAAAGGGTTCATTCAGTAGAAGACTACACACCAGTTGATTATTTGTTCTCAGCTAAGGCTAATCACAAAAGCTGTAAAGAGAAGCATAGAGTAGTAATCAACTGTATCAATAGAGTTGTACTACACTGATGAAATCACAGATCGTCAATTTAATTATTTTTTATTTCAAAAGAAATTTTCAGAAAATGTTCAATCTTTAGGTGTAATAGCTGCAAAGGACTTTGAAATGTTTTCAAAATGTATTTCCATGCCAAAACTGATAGGAATTATGGTTAGATAATTTTGCCTATCAAAATGCATGAAGAATAAGGCCAATAACAAAGAATTCTCTCATTTTATGTTCTCTAAAGAGGTTCCATAAATGGCTTATGGATATTTTAACAATGAAGGAGATGTACTGGAGTGCTAATCATCATGGGGAGAAATTAATCACTGCCATCATGCCAAAGCTAACACCTCAAAGAATTTTCATTGCCTGAAGTGATAGAACAAATATATGCTATTCAGGGAAGCTTTAACTTGCACAATGGATTTAAAAAATATTTAACTATGGTTCCAAATTAATATTCAATACCCATTCTTGGCAACTTTTTTTCTTTTCTTTTTCTCTGTCTTTTTATACTTTCTTCCCTTTTGCACATCTTCATTCCCTTCCGTTATTATATGCACCCCCAGCACATGCAGAGAAATATCCATTTAACAATCAAAAGCTCTCAGAGGAAGAGCATTGTTTAGATGTAAATGGCACTGAAAACATACATGATATATACATATATATATATATATATATATTTCTTTTTAATTGATGTGAATATTTAAGTAAGAATAGGGTTTTTAAAAAAGGGTATATTTTTCATAAAAAATGAGCATGCATTTACAGTATCACCCAAATTCCATCATTTATTACTTTGAGAACATGTGGAAATACAGAAAAAAAAAGAGTCCATTTTTATTCACCCTTAAAATGAAATAATGTCAGTGACTACAGTGGCTAATTTATATCCCCTGTAAAGCCCTTCCTGATGCCTAGGACATGCATCTCATTGTTTGTTCAAATTAAACTATTTTCCCTAAAACATTGGACAGCAATCTGTCCATACTTTCCTTAGCTGAATAGTTATGTCTGGTTTATCCTCAGGTTGAGAGTTTTTTCATTGGTAAAATGAAAGGCTCAAAATGCTTTTTATCATACCTGATTGTGGACTTTGTTTGGGGATTTTGGCTGCAGCTTGAGGGCTGGAAGTAGAGCGCATTTGCTGATTAGCAGAATTATGGATGCTACTGGGAACGGCTGCAGAGATATTCTTTCGGGGTTTCATGTCTTGTAACCACATGGGAGAGGCTTCAAAAGCCTGCATTCTCCGAGAGTGGCTGTTTGCATTGACTTTAAGGTAGGCTTGGGCCTTGTATTCTTGAAGATCTCCATAGTTGGCATCTGTCACCCGGCACTCGTATAAGCCTTCATCCTTTTTCCTTACTTTGGAAATCTGAAGCTTGTGGGAGATGTCATTCCCTTGTACTTTTACTGTCTGTAAAATTTTCAGAGGAAAAGAAATGTATTGTTGTGTAAAATTCTGTTCAAAGTTTTGTCAACTATACATGCTTATATGTAAAATGGATAAATTTTAATAGACTTGGGGACATAGGGTCAGAGAACTTTAATTTTCAAGTGCAATTAAAAATAATAAAAATACATTCTCTTTTTCATCTCTTCAATTAATTCAACAAATATTTATCAAAAGCCTACATTTTTCAATGCATGTTGGTAACTAGGAATAATATGACAGTATTGGATGTACATGATGGTCATACACTTCAGATTCAAGCTACCCATCTCCAGGTTGTTAACCAAGTGATCTCCATTTCCAAAATTAAAATATCTGGTCCTATTATTATCTAACTGTGTGAGTAACTCTGTGATGGTTAGTTCTGGGAAGTATATTATGAGATCAAAGAAGTCCAGTCTATGCTGAGTTCATAGATTATTCTAGTATGCCATACAAATTAAAATGCATTTTTTAGGTCCAAAGAGGAAGTGAGTGAGACACTATGGAAAGATTGTAAAAAACTGATGAAGTGAAAGAAAAATAGTCAAAATGCAAGCACTACCAAAGTTCTTATAATACATATACATTAAATAGCTATCATTTAAATAGCACTTAAATGTTTGCAAAGCACTTTCCATGATATTTCTTTTGATCGTCACAAGAATTCTGTGAAGCAAGTACTATTACCATATCCTTTTACCTATACAGAAACCGAGGCTGACAGAGCTTATAAGTGACATGTCCAGGGTATTTGGAGTAATATTCAAACCCAAGTCTTCCTATGTACAAATCTGTCACCTTATATATTATGCCACTTAGGTACCTCATACATATAAGTTATGTACTCTGTTCACATAGTCATTTCTATTGGAAAAGACATTTCTTTTTTGAGCTTAATTCAAGTCAAATATGATGCACATAATAGTATGCAATGATAAGAGTAAGTGGTTTTATAAGCTTGACTGGAGCCATCAAGTGACTCTAAGGTTGGCTGCCACATATTTTCAGGTCCTACTTTTGACACAAATTGTCTATGTAACCCTGGGCAAGTCATTTAATTGCTCATTGCCCCAGGCAAATTTCTGAAACTGTAATGTACAAAGAAAGTAGTGATCTGCATTAATATAGAATATTTTCTCAATAGGAATTTCTCTTCACACCAATGAAATTACAGTTATAAGCTGTACATTTGTATGTATATTTAAATGATTATATCTATGTGGATATGTGTATTTCTATCACAGGATTTGAGTAAGCTAACGCTCATTAAGCTCAAATATATGTGTGATACATATGTATGTATATATGAATATACATGTATATGCATATGCATATGTGCATGTGTGTATTTGGTGAATAGAGATCAAGATATGTATACAGGAAGATCTGGATTCAAATCATGCTTCTGATATTTACTAGTTAGTTTTTCAGGTTACCAAAAAAAAAACCCTATAAATTTGAATTTATGAATGGAATGTCCACACTGGATAGTTACTCAAAAAGTTGAAATTACAAGCCAAGAATTTTGTAACTGAGTATCTCTGCACCCTTATTTGTAAATAATAACCATAATTCCTAATAATCATTCAGGGCTTTTGGGCCTTTAATGTTGCTTAACATATACCCCCTCAACTAACTGACAAGATAGGCAAGTAGCTATTATTATAGTAGTTTTGCAGTGAAGAAAACTAAAGTTCAAAATTGACTTTTCTGAAATCATACCATCAGTCAGTAGCAGAATAGGTCCTAGGACCCAAGTCTCCTGGTGTTGTCTAGTGATCTCTATTAAACTATATGAATTTTTATTTTGTTTTCGTAAGTTTTTATCTGTGGATATAGGGTAGTAATATCTAGGTAGTAAAAACCTTACAATTCTGCAAGGTGAACCTACAAATTTTATGTATCCCATTTGACAGAGGATGAAACTGAGACTCATGAAACAGAAGTGACTTGTCCATACCAATAAATTAGTGTCAGAGGATGCATTTGAACTCATTTTCCTGACACCAATTCCAAAAGTTTTCCCATTATACTATAAATATCTATGTATGGAAGAGTGACAAGGTTTACGTGACATTTTTATGAGTCACTGTGTTTGAAGTACAGATAATAAGATATAGAAAAAAAATCAGAATGGTTGCACACACTTGCTGCATGTATAACTTGAATTATTATTCATATGTCAGTAATAATTGTTATATCTAACAGTACTGACATGTCTGATGGATTTGGAAAGATAACCTGAGGCCTTTAGTTTCACATCATCATCTTTTATGTAGCAAGCTGTTCTTTATCCTTTAGATAGCTTATTCTGATCACAAAATTTTATTGACTTTCGCAATTTCCTTACCACGCTCATATCCAACCACTTGTCAAGTCTTTTCAGTTCTACTTCAATGGTAGCTCCTACCTCTAACCATTTCTTTCCACTAACATGGCCACCAGACTAGTTCAAGTCCTCAGTAGTTATCTCGTGGATTATTCTCCTGATTGGTCTTCATGCTTTCTCTCTACTTTTCTCCAACCCATCCTTTGCAGAGCTTTCAAATTAACTTTCTTAAGTTATTATCTTAACACAACATTTCCATGATGAAAAGCTACAGTTGCTCATTATTGTCTTTATTATAAAAATATTTTTCCTTCTAGCCTTTAAAGTCTTTCACAATCTGGTTCCATTTTCCTTTTCAGAGTTATAAGGTTATCCAACTTCATATGCCCTACTTTACATTCTCATCAAACTGGCCTAATTTCTAAGATAAGAATTATTTTATGTGCCTGGGATATATTTCCTCCTCATTTTTTTTCCTCTTAAAAACCTTTGCTTCTTCTAAGGCTTGGTTTAGGTGTCATATCCTACTAAAAGATTTTCCTGATTTTCTAGTGCTTAATGTTTCTCCTTTTTTTTTATTTTTAAAAATTTTCATGGATTTACTTATCTTGGTAGGTTTTTTTGTTCCTTTCTCTCAGGAAAATGTAAGCTGCTTGATGGCAACTGTGTTTATGAATGGGTAGGATGCCTTAATAGCACCAGCAGCTAGGCATAGTGCCTTGCACAAAGTATTTAATAAAATATGTATTGAATATTTTTAAATAGAAGAAAGTCAATGGGTTTATTTTATTTTTTTAAAATATAGATGTCTTGAATGTGACTTTATTGATTTGAATGTCACTTTATTATTATATTATACTTTTAATGAAATTTTATATATAGCCTCCATTTTTTGGATACCCTAACAAAGAGTTTATCTCATGTGTTTAATGACTATGCCCTTCTATATATTGGAAATATTCAATTCTTATTCTTGGAGAATAGGTAACTATGTCTGGGTAAACTGCCTTTTCACTTAGATCAGGGTGGGGAAGCTGCAGACTCAAGGTCATGTGTGGCCCTCTAGGTCCTCAAATATGGCCCTTTGGATTCAGTCAAATTTGAGACCTACAGGGCCATATGTGGCCTCAAGGCTACAGATTCCCCACACCTGACTTAGATTCTCATAGCAGGGTCATCAGGATTTTACATAAGGTACTGTATCTACAACAGAAGATAATGCTTAGAGACATCACCTATTTCTATATTAAAAGTTATATGGACTTTTGAAAAATAGTAACAAAAGTCTGAATTATTAAAATTTCAAATTAAACTAATGTTCTCATTCCCAAATTATTACATGGTCATGCCCTTGGAAGACAAATGCATAATTTTTGTTGTTGTGGTTGTCTTTCTAAAGCAATATATTAACCAAATTTCAGTGAATGTAAAACATAAAGGGCCCATATATCTTTAAAATGGCAATTTCATCAGTTTTAAAGACCTAAAATAAAGAGGCTCATATTTTAACATAAATACATAACATTTAAAAATTAATGTTACTTTCAGTAAAATATATATTTCCTAAGGCACTGTTGGACTTCTGCTTTTATCTCACCTAACTCAGAGAACATTGCTGTTCCTATACTAGATGTTCAATAAATATTGATATTCTACAATTGGTATTAATTTTGTCAAAGCTTTATCTTATTATCAATGTCATTTAAGGTTAATTCTTGCCATCTAAACTATTAAAATCTCACTGATATATTTTCTGCTACTCTAATTTTTTTTTAACCTTTATTTTTAACTTGCTAGGAAAGGAAGCTATTTATTTTCATTCATAGTTAAAAATGGCAAAACAGGTTGCTATTCAGACTATTATCAGGAATACTAAAAAGCAAAATTGCTGTCCTAACTTTATTTTATTTTTGGATGGGTTTGTGAGTGAAGTACTTTATAACCTATAAATAAAAATGTTATTATTTTATTATTTACATGTTCATTACTATTTGAATTTTTTCATGTAAGGATCAGACAATATAGATTCTTTCTGTAGTGAAAGCTGAAAGAAAAAAAACTGCTTACAGGTTGTTGTTGGTGGTGGTTTTTTTGCTTTTGTTTTTCTTTTTGCCTAATTCATTGTGTAATTTACATATACCCCCTACTTTCATTCAAAAACATTTTTAAAATTAAAAAAAATTATTTAAAGGACTTCTTAATTAAAAATTAATAAATTTGCCACAGATTATTATTAGCTAGATGTTAATAAATGACAAGGCTAAAATAATATGATATATATGGGGTGGGGGTAGTTTTGTCTTTCATTTCTAACGTTTTTGAATATACTTACGCTGATTTTTGTTCCATCGTTGTCTAGGTCTCTTTCTGGTAAGAGCTCCACCTGTTGGAGACAGATAACATTGCTTCAAAAAGGCATGACTGAACCTTGTGCTTTAAAATGTCCCTGGAAAAGCTGAAGACAACCAGAAGCTCACTCGTATGCTAAGTGTGCCACCTATGGGCAGAACACCGTTTTCCCCTTCCAGAAAACACAGATTTTTGCTTTGCTGATAAAGTTATTTCTTCATTTATTTTACGTTTACTTTTTTTTCCCTTTTTCCTTACATGAAAACCAAGTGAGCCCAAATACAGGACACCCAGCTTTTAAAGCACCAGGTTTTGTTTATTTGTTTGTTTGTTTTTCTTTTGGAGAAGTGATGAGCTGCAAAGGTTCACAGTGGCATCAGGGAAAGAAGCCTGTTAGATTGTTATTTATTTATTTATTTAGGCTCCAGGTTAAAAAGCTTTAGTGCTGGAGAAGGCAGGGGACAACTAGGTCTTACACAGCACTCCCTCTTAATCTTTTATTCAAGTGCTGGTTTGTTTAAGTTCAGTTTATAGCTCATAGATAAAAAAAAGAGAGAAAAGGTCTATGACAGATAAGGTGCATATGAATATTGGTTTGTTAATCCTGGATCTTCTGATCTGATATTAAGATTTGAGCTGATATTAGGATAATTCTTTCCAGTAGATGATGAATGAAATAAACCAACTCTCTTCCTCTCTCTCTTTCTCTCCCCCACTCTCCTCTCTCTCATTTATTTCATCCTATTTAAGTAAAACAATGGCAAAAGAGGAGAGAAAAGGAGGGGAAGGTTGTTTTTCTTCCAGTCCATATAAGGGGTGACATGGCATATAAAAAAAAGAGCAATATAACATTGAAATCATTAAATTTAGTTGTAAGTCCCAATGCCATTATTATTACAAACTGGTGAACTGACATTATACTCCCTTTAACAGAAGACAGATTCTTAAATTTAAATGTGACCTAGGAAGGAATCTAATTGAGCCTTGTAATGCTAGGTATTCCTTAATGTGTATATTACTTGCGGTTTACGGTACAACCGAGTTCTAAAAGAGACAATCACACAACTGCTTCAAGGTACCCCTGCAGCTGCAGACTTTGCTTTCTGTGGCTGTTTACTTATAGGACATGGAGGTGAGGATGAAGAGGAAAACCTATGGCTGGTTTGGAATATACCTGAGTGCCTGTCACCTCTGCTCCAGTCTCCTGGTCCTCAGCTGCCCGCAAAAACCACCACTGAATCTCCAGGTAAACTGAGGCAGAACCACTCTGGAAAGCACATGACATTTCCACATTCTGCCCCTCAGTTGCTGTAACATTTCGAGGAAACTCGGTAAATTTTGCTGGAAAAAAAAATGTATGATTTGAATTTGAATTTCTTTTATTTATCTTCCTTACCTTCATATTTCTTCTCACTCACCTTCTTTTTTAAAAATGACCTTTATCATGTTTGCCTTTCCCTTGCTTTCTCTCCCAATTCCCTTCTGACTTCTATCTCATTTTGTATAATATGCTTATGTCACTTTCTTCTTCTTATGACCAAATAATTGGAAAGCTAACTAGCTTACCAAGCACTCCCTTGGGCTGGCCAAGTTGCTTATAATTAAATTCAAGGATCCTTTCAGTGAAATGCGGTATTTCACAAAACTCATGAGGTATTCAGCGCATAGCAATTTAGAAAATCAGCCCAGTTGATGCATTATTACATTTTGGAGGTGAAAGTGTAGCCTGTGAATCATTTAGCACCATTCTGCTAACTTAAGTAGATACTATGCATCTTTAATGTTTTAATGAAGGGCTATCATTATGTATCATCATATATCAAGATGCACATTTCAGTAACATCAAAAAAGGACTTGCTATTTTCTTTCCCTTATATTGCATTGCATCCATCTGTTGTTCCTTTTAGTAAACCAAATTGCACTGGTTCTGACAAATCTGGTAGATATCTTCCTCTCCAAATTAACCTTCATCTTTGACTCCAGACTTTTATTTGCCAATATTGCAGCATTTGAGACTAGCTGAGGACACGAATGCTGGTGTTTTTGTGTGTGGTGATTTTGTTGCCATTTTTTTTAACTAGTCACCAAGATGATTTTGTGTCTTCTTCTTGTCTCTATACTTGCCAGTACTCTCTTGTAATCTGAACATCTGACATTTAGAAAAGTCACAAAGAACACTTCCTTTAGCCTAAAGGCACTCAATTAACAGTGAATGGTAGTGCCAACTTAGTTGCAAATAGATCGCATCAGATAGTTGTTTATCCCAAACCCACGGGAGAATTTATGAAAGGCAGTTTCTTCCTAATAGTTCTTTTAAATCCTGCTCCCTAAAGGTCATCTTCCTGAGATTTGTGTGTATGTGAGGCAGGGAATAGAAGTGCAGGATAGATTGTACAGTTATAGAGGAAGGTTGCATGATCTTCCCTGGGCTCACTTTTTAAATGATGGCACCATTACAGGTTATTTTTAATCAATTCACTATTATCCTCCCCCGCAAAAAAAAAAAAGGCTTCTAATGATTTCTATTTACATTTAAAATATGAAGTAACATATCCAAATATCTTCTCATTAATGAATGAAAGAGTTTTCTCTCAAAGAGGCAGTCTTAGCGTAGTACTTGGATTTGCGGAGGTGATGCAGTAATCAACCCAGAAGTGGCTTGTGATCTGTCCACGGTGCTGAAATGATCACTGCAGCCCTCAAAGTTCCAAACAACTGGCTTTTTTTTTTTCCTGCAGAGAAAGGGCTGCTTGCAATGCAAGTAGGACCTTTTATTGCATCTTCCAAAAAACTGGTCTTTTGTTAGATACACATACAAATAGGAGAGGTAAAAGAGCTACGCGAAATAATGGCAAAATTGGAGAAACAAGCCGAGCTGAAAGGACATCAAAATGCATTCTGGTTTAACTGTTCTCTTACAACTAGTGTTTTAGTGATCCCATTGCTGTGCTGGTGCATGTTTGCAATGATTTTGTACGCATGAATGATACTCAATACATGTACATAGATAGCTCATCAGGACAATTTTTTTATGCTTTCTGAGTAACACACATCCTATCCAGAAAACTTGATTTTCTTTAGAATCCAGTAGGTTTTTAATCAACTTAAAATAATAAAGCCTCCAAACAAAACGCTACCCACACTTTCCAAACCCATGGAATGCTTGTTTGGGAACTCTGATTATATCTGATCATTCAGTGATTTTCAGTCTCACTTTCTACACAGGGAGCACTCGCGCGCATACAGCCAACATCGACTTACCTTGAGAAGAAAGTCCTTGCTGTATATATAAAACAGAAAAGAAAATGAATCCAACATAAGCCAAAAAGATCCCCATTATTCCAAAGCCGAAAAGAAAAGTCACATCAGGGTAACCGATACCAAAATGTCTTGGAAGAAATCCGTGCGAATCTATAAAAATGCTCTGCGTTGTTTCTCTGGATGCGACAGTGAAAGCATTCTGCTCCTACTCAGCGGGTGGATTGTCTTTGGGGAGAGGGTATGGAGATGCACGGAAGATAAAATGGACTGGCTTGAACGTTGTGAAGCTGTAAGTCCAGATCCTGAATAGAAACGGTGAAAAGTGACTATCTGATTCTTCGTTGCCTGTTTTCAGATACCTGGCAGCTCGTCCAACGTCAGCCTGCTGCTTCTCAGGACTGCGTGATCACTGCTCTCCCTAAACACTGAACCAGTCTGAGAAGTGGGGAGTGGGCAAAAGGGGAGGGCTGGAGGACTCCGCTGTGCTTGCATTGCTTCAACTTTTCCCTCTAATGGCTACGATGATGCCTTTAACTCTGTACGTGCCAGACAGATTCTCGTCCTGCTGTGAACTTGCACTGGGAAATTTACTAGGAAGGAGATTTTGGCGCATTGTAAACCCAATCCTTCTAAAGGGCAGGAGGTTTTCTTTCCCTTCTACACTTCCTTATGTTTTCCTCTCTTTCTCTTTTTCTTTTCTATTCTTCTTCTTTTTTGCCCTTTACATTGATATATTCTCTCCTGGCTTCGGATGCATTTATTCAGTGGCTGAAAGGGTAATGCAGATTTTCATTAGGGGTATGTTGAAGATGTGTGTGTGGGGGGGTCTTATGGGGTGGAAAACTGAAGTGATTTGAGAAGGGAAGTTTCGGGAATTGTTGAAAATGAGGAATATATGTATGTGTATTAATATATATATACACATATATATATATACATATATATGGAGGCTTTGGGTTATATGTGCAAGGTAATGATTTGGAGTGATGTAAATAGTTAATATGAGAGAGTCAAGTTGCTTAGCTAGTTGTTACATGTTTTGGTTAAGAACATTCACAAGTTATGACTCTATGAATTTATTGCTGTGCATTGCCCAAACAAATAGAAGCTGAATCCATAAATATGATATAGTTAATGAATGAATACCAGGGGGAAAAAGAGAATAAACAAAGTATGATGCCTCAGATTATTTCTAGAGTTAAAACAAAATCATTCCATTGAAATGTCTTGATTTTCCAAACACTACCCTCAACAAATACACAAGGGGAGAGACATAAGATTGAGGAAGGTGGAGGATCTTCAAGACATTTCTTAACTCTTCACAATGAAGTGCTTATATAATATTCCCTAGAGTCATAAAGACAAGCTACACTATTGTGGAAAACACACTAACCTTGAAGCTTATGGTTTGGAGGAAGTAGAGGAAAAAAGATCGTACTAGGGAAGGCAGGTGATTAACTGTTAAATATATACTGTTTCTTACTGAGGATTTAAACAATAGAACATGTCATCTTAAGGAAAGATGCTATGTGTTTTCACAAGGACAGACATTAGAGCCAATTAATTTACATATTTCCCCCAAATGTGATTTTTCCATCCATACCGATTGATAAATAGTTTATATCCATTATTATGTTGACAAAGTGATATAACAAATCTGAACTGATATTTGCAACCATGAATTAATCCCCACAGTGATCTTTGAAGAAGTCAATGCAGCATATGCATTCTCATTTCGCAGATACATAAAATGAAACAGAGAAAGTAGGTTCATGCCTACACTAGCTGGACAAAATAACCATTAAAATACATACTGTGCTTCTCGAGGCTATTTATTTGACTGTTGTGTTTTCTTTCCACTAGCAGCTAAAAATAATACAAGATTGTAAAACTTGGGTAGGGTAGATTACACAAAAATACTGTGTTCATTTTGTTTTCTCTGTAAACTTAGAATATGTGACTTGCAAAAAATCAGGATGGGAATTCATGTTAGGATGAGAGTTCAGGAGCTGCTCAGCATTCATAATACTAGATCTTCTCTTTTTCTTTGATTCAGTCATCTCAGTTAAACCTTATGAAATTTAGATCATTCAAAGGAAAAGAGCTGTATTCTTGCCAAAAGCTACTTTGATGGAGAAAGTGCTATTAAAAGGATAATACACTCCTACTGGCAGAGGGATTTCAACCAATCCTATCAGTTTCTAGTGTCGAACTTGTAGTTTTGTCTTTTGCAGTAGATGCTAAGATAGTTTGGAGTTGCACTTTCATGAAAACATTATTTTTGTTCAAATTTGCTTTTCTAAAGACTTCATATTTATCTATCACAATTTTAAAATGGGAACAAAAGTAACATTTTGAATCCTATGCAACTTAAACCTGTTTCAAAATTTGACAAGACCCTTGTAATCTTTCTATGAAAATTTAACAAAAAAAAAGACTGCTTAAATGAAAAAGTTAATGACTTTAACTGTTCTAAACATTGCTTGAAAATGATATGTAATCTTTGAGGTAAACTATCTACTACTAGGTTATGTATATTCAATAGTTCTCATTCTTTATCTTAGTTATAAGAATAATGCCAATATCTCATATTAATGATTAAACCTTAAAATTATTTCCCTTATAAGGAGCAGTTTCCAATAAGAAAAATAAACAAAAGGCTCACATTTAGTAAAGTGACAAGATGGAGTAGGTTTTTTTTAACGTTCCAAAAGCCATATTATCTTTAAAGATATCATAGTATTATAAAAAAGAAGAAAAATGAGGGATATGAAAAGGGAAAAATGTTCACAAAAGTTTGTATGTGTCAGATAAATCATAAGACTATTTAAAAATATCATCCATAAGATCTAACTAGGGATGATGAAGCAAAAACATGTTTTGTTTTCCTCACAATGATATCTTGCTTAACATGGTGCCACACATGTCTAATCCTTGTTAGTGCCATAGTTGAAGCTGGTGGATCTCTTGAGCTCAAGAGTTCTATGTTACTATGGGGCTAAATCAATCAGTTTTCTGCTTTACATCCACCACAAATATTGTGAGCAGGAGGCTGCTAGGCTGCCAAGAGAGGGTTAAACCAGTCCATGTCAGAAACAGAAAAAGTTGAACCTCCTGTGCCAATCAGTAGTGAGATTGGGTTATTGAGTGAACACTGCACTTTCCACTCAGGGTGAATTAGAGAAACAGTTTCAAAAAAAATTACCAAATGTAATTTAAATTTTGGCATTTTACAAGCTAGGTAGATATTTTCTCTTAAAAATTTCTTATAATTATTTCAGCTTCTGTAACTTTTGGTAATTAAGTACATTTACATTACCTTATGAATATTGCATTATTCCCTTTGAAAGCTAAGGTAATATTTTGTGTTCAAAAATTGAAATGCTAAGAAAATACAAAAATGAGTATATTATATATTATTCTTGAATTAAAAAATAATTAATAAAGTGAAATGATTGACCAGCAAAAGTGAACATCATAAGTCTTCTGATTGTCTTTGTAATACTTCAAGTTCATTGAAGATAGAGATTTTGTCTGTAGCCTTTGAAAATGGGAAATACATCTTGAAAATGGAAGATATTTAATTCTTCTTAGTTCAATTGAATTGCATTCTTATTTTATTGTTCCTTTCTATCTAGGGTCAACATTGATTAGAGGCAATGTGGTACAGTATACAAAGCACAGGACTGACAGGAGAGACCTGAGTTTGAATACTAATATGGTCACTATCTGTTCACCACTGGAAAAATAAAAGCTTTTCATTATTCAATACCTGATTTTAGTTCTATAAAGTGGGAGTGATAATAACTGCAATTCTGAACTCATAGTTTTGTGGTGGGTGAAAATATTTTGTAAAAACTTAAACTGCTGTACAGTTGGGTGTTTTAATTTCTTTTTAGCTATCTCTCCACTTATAGCCCATATTTTTATCTCTTCTTCATAATCCATTTTATGGAAATACCATATATTTTTTTTCTCCCAGAATCTGAATTAGACAACTATGAGAAAAAATAGTATGACCATTTAAACAAGTACAAGTAGATAACCGCAAATGGAGGAAGAATGTTAAAAGAAAACTAACAATAAATAAAATTAATCCCATCTTTCCAGATATCTACAAATGCTTTTTAATGATAAATCATTTAGAAAATTTTCAACTTAGATATTTGGTTATCCATACTTGTTCAACCTTCACTTCTAAATGTAGAATCTTGATTTAATGTCTGCCATTCTTCATTGCAGAAAAGACAATCGACTGGTGATGGATAATAATGATGGCATGGATAGAGTTATATCCTTTGTTTTGTTGTTGTTGCTGCTGTTGTTGTTTTACTATTGTGTAAACCAAAACTCATGGTGATTACCTACTTATTTTCACTTTTCATTTACTTGATTTATCATCATATACTTTGAAGGCCACAATTCTCTAATAATATAAATCCTAATAAGCACCATTCTTTTTGATATTTCATACCATGCCAATCTAACCTATTGAAGTACAAATCTGAGAAGGATCTATAATTCTTCAAGCTCTTTCATCTTTGCATTGCTGTCTACATTTCCATTGTCTCCAGTATACTATTTTTGTTTTTAATTTTCACCTCTTACCTTTGATGAAATGGCCTACTTAGTTATTATATTCAAATCCATTACTTCTATGCTTAATTTATTCTGTACCCTCATGATTTTTGAGCATTTCTAACATCATCCACAGTACAATCAACCATTAGCTCTTCCAAATATGCCTTCCATAACACATTACCACTCTTAATTCATAAAATATTATCTTAAATCATGTTTTAAATAATGTCCCCAGGAGATTTTAAAGCATATTTCAGGAAAAAAAATCAGTTTCATGCTACCTATTTGAACCATGATCTCATTAGCCTTTACTTTTGGGGAAATGAATATAGATCTTGAGAAGTTGCAAAATCCATAGGAAAACCTGTCTTCTGAACTATAATAACAGTCTCCTAGATAGTCTTCCTGACTCCAGTCTGCCTGTCCAATTTATCCTGCACAGATGTGTGGCATTTTGACAGATGTCAAAATAATAATCTTATTAAATCGTAGGAATTGCCATGTTACTATACTATTAAAACATATTAGCTCCTTATTGCTTCTGGGGAGAAACACATACATTAGTTCCAGTATCTTAGACCTTCCATAATATGTGTACAACCTACTTTTCAATTTATATTCTACATTTTTCCCTTTGTACACTCTATATTCCAGCTAAATACTAATAGAAAATTAATGGGAGAGAAAGAAAGAAAGAAAGAAAGAAAGAAAGAAAGAAAGAAAGAAAGAAAGAAAGAAAGAAAGAAAGAAAGAAAGAAAGAAAGAAAGAAAGAAAGAAAGAAAGGAAGGAAGAAAGGAAGGAAGGAAGGAAGGAAGGAAGGAAGGAAGGAAGGAAGAAGGAAGGAAGGAAGGAAGGAAGGAAGGAAGGAAGGAAGGAAGATGTTTACCTATAGAATATTAATGGAAGATATGGATAAATCTATCGATATTGATCTATCTATATCTCACATTAGTTTTC